AGCCCAGCCGGACCAACGCTCAGGGTCTTAAAATAATTGAGAAGAATTTGCTACCTTTCTGTAACATCAAGAAATGGTTAGATATTCTGGTCTCCTCGGATAGGGACGAATAAATGAAGGTCCTGCAGGGTTGGGGTAGGAGACGTTAATTTCCCACACACGAGATTACTGTGTGATGATGCCCTCCCCTGGGGTGGGATGGGTGGGAGGGTGGACTAGCATGAATGGTTCATATGTTCCTTTCTAGTCCTTCCCCACTGCAAAACTTAATGCAGCGAAAATGGACTAAATTAAATTAAATTAGATTAAATTAAAAAGTGTTGAAAGCATATGCAAACGCTAAAAGCATTTGAGTGATTATATTGAACAGGGTATGCATTTACAAGGTAATTTGGTTTTATGATCGACTAAGTTGATTATGTAAACTGGCCACCGTAAAGGGTTTCAAGCGTTAGCTGGCATCCTTTGTTCAAATTAATGATACAATAATAACTAAATCCTTTTGCTTGAAAAAGAATATAGCTATCAATAAATTCATAAGAGGGCCCTGAATAAAAGATGGTAAATTGCCAACTAAGTGAGTAACACTCAGTTCACACTCATTGTATGTTCTCTCATATTGTAAAAATATTTCAGAACTACTCACTACATTTAACTTGAGGCTCAAGTTTAAGTCATGGTTTTTGCGACTTACCTCCAGTAGGGGTCAAAAGTTCAAAGAACACATCTGTACCCTCCTCTAAAACAGAGTCACTTTGCCCAGAAAAACCAAAAATCTGCCATAGGAAAAGAGATTTAATTCAAACAAATGAGAAGCTCCTCACAATGGTTTCCTATTTTTGTTTGATTACAGAAAGGTAATCTATCCAGAGCTAGATCTATCCTAGTTTAAAGTAAAGAAATTTAGAGGTCAGCCAGTACTAAACATACTAAAGTTTCCCATAAAGTACGCAGTGTATCTTTTCTATTCACTTTTTATCGATAAATAAGGTAAAGTTTACGACACGTTGTAACCGACAAGTTACCGACACTTCGCCGACAGGTCACCAACAGTCGGCCGTTTGTCGACCGACACTTTTGACTAAAACTGTCGGCAAACCGTTGGCCGACAGTTGGCCGTTGTGTCGGCCAACAGTTGGCCGTTTTGTCGGCCGACAGTTGGCTGTTTGTCGAGCGACTGTTGGCCAACTGTCGTCCGTTGTCGGTCGACAAACGGCCAACTGTCGGCCGACAGTCGACCGACAAACAGCCGAAAAATGGCCGACAGGTTTTTTGGGAGCTCTTCTTCACAATTACCCTTAATATGACCATAGTGACCCAACCAACGGAAAAGTTATGGAGAGACAAAAAAAGTTCTCCACTCAAAGGGATCCCTTTTTGCTTATTGCCTCCACATTTTGATACTGCTCATGAAAAAAGTTTAAAGGTCAAATGTAAATTAACTCTTTTCAGTTAACGGTCTCATAAATGTTTAAAACTCCTCTCCTATAAATATGCCGTCTTTCATACCCCATATTTCTCACAGTTCATGTGACCTTAAGCCTTTTTTCGAGGAGGAGTTGTTTTAACCAAATGACAGATACAATTTTAAGCAAGAGCTTTGGATGGATGACACATACCTCGGAAGGCGTGCACAGATCTATGGGAGAAAAGAATTACAAGGGTCAATACATATAAGTAAATTGTGTCACTCTCTAACACATTTTCTTTTTACATATTATTCAGACATGTATCAGGCAGGCATTATCGATTATTTCCACCGAAAAAATAACCAAAAGTTGATTGCACAATTCCTGGAGAATAGTATATGCTTTACATATACGTGTAGCAGAACACATAAACGCACTGAAAGCTTCAATTTCTGAGAGTGACCCATACGCGGGCCATTCCAACACTTCAGCCACAATGAAGCCAGCCTAAAATTTAAGAACCTTTTAAACTAAAATTTCCCAGTTAAGCATCCCTTGCATAAAACAATTCTGGGCTAAAATCTCAAAACAAGATCCTATGTTTGGAATGGAGAGTTTTTTTTCAAATACAATACAGTTCAACACATGCGATACAAAAAGGGTGACACACACTAGTCTGAACAGGGGCAGTGTTATAAGACCACAATACTGCACCTTCAATACCTCCACACCATCAACAAATTCATCTGCATGTATAACTTAACCATGTTAAGCAGGCCACTGTAAGGCTGCAGTATCACAACCACACCCACGAATACAAGTTATTTTAACCAAAATTAAGATCTTAAGAAGCCTAATTTCACAGTTAACATCATTTATGTAATAACAAATGGGCCCATAGAGCTGTCTGCTCTTTTTTTATCATTAGCTAAATTATACACTAGTTTCTAATAGCGATAAAAACAGAATGGACTGGTTTGGATGCAAAACTTGCTTCCCTATTCCTAAAATTTACATTTTAAACAGAGGCTTTGTGATTGTCCAGTTACCGGGACATTTGACGAATCGGTCCCTGGTCTATAAAAAGCCATGTGATCCAACATTTGTTACAAATTCCAGTTGAGGACTTAAACTTAAAATATAATGGCGATGACAAAATAAGTCGCGTTGTTTAATAACACGTGAGTTTATTCATTGTAATGCCTTTCAAAAATGTACAAAACGTTTTTGCTGTCATAGTAACCCCCTTTCAGTCAGACAGCATTACAGCAGTTAGCTTGGGCCAAATATTTTCCCATCCAGTCCATACACTCATTCAAAGTACAAATTGCATGAACTATCACCATACCTTCTGAATGATAAGCAGAGTCACTAGCTTGAGCAACACCGACAGTATTGTTCATGATCGCATCCTGGCTAGAGTCTGACTACATGATTGAAAAATGATTAGGTCAAGAAAGCATTACAGAAATTTTGATCATAATGAAGGAAGTTGGTTTTGTGCAAAAAAAAATATGGAAAGTAAATAATATTCAGTTCATAATATGTTTGGCCAGACCATTCAAAACATTGATATAAACACTAAAACAAGGCTTAAGTTTGACTGCCAAACAAAGGCAGCCCACAAATTGATAACTTTCATTCCAAGTTTTATGATCTCTAAATCTATTTACATGCAATTAATAAAAAGCTAGGATCAAGTACTGTTATTGCTAACTATTACGTGTTTGAGAGTTTAGTCACTGAGGTTGAACTAATTCAGTCACCCCATTTTCAGAATATTTTACATAAAAAAAAATTGTCAAGAGCATATAACAATTTTTGTACATTGAATTCCCTCTCTGAGAGCATGTAAGTATAGGAAGAGCACGACACTTCCAATATTAAAGATATTTAAAGGTTGAAAATAAAAATACCTCATTTTTGATGGGTTCCCGATCTGTAGTCACAGCTGTTTGTTGGGAAGGATCAGTTTCTGATGTTGCTACATGGAAAATAAAAAAGTTCTTAGTTAAGCATATTTAAATGTAACTGCTCTTGTCATTCTCTCAAAGCTATCCTTATTTCAATGCAAAGCTTTATTAGCTAAGTTTTAACATTTTACAGGAAGGGCTGACTGCATTTCCAGGATCAAATGACTCACCATGCCTGAAATAATAATTCCTTCTGAGTTCTTCATTTTTAACAACGCAATTAGCACTACATGACAACACAAGCAGACAATAAGGCTGATCCCTAAAAAAAGTGGTACTTTTTGAGCGCCTGAGGTCTAATGAAGGACATGATATGAAATAATATGACATCTCCCTTCCTTTAAAAATAATACCACATCAACAAAGAGATGGAACGTATTCTATACCGGGACATTCCTCAGTTGTTATAAGCGTATTCCTCAGTGTTCTTATTATTATAAATCTATTCTTCAATTTCTCTAATCTTATTGGTTTAGCCTATGTGTAGGTATCACAGCTCTCCCACATCTGGTGACATATCCTCAGCTGTGCCTGAGGTCCTTCACAGAACGTTGTTCGTTAAGGCTGTATCATAAGATCCCAGTCTGGCCGCTGTACTGTCCTTCTGTGATGTCACTGTGAGACTAACTAGGCCAGGACTCGTTGTCCGTTGGCACACTGAGTTTACCATTCATTGGCATCAAGGGTCATTTGCCATTTGCTGTTGTTGTTTCTGGTCACAATTTGGACTGCGTTCTTCGATAGGTGGCTTCTGTACTGCTGAGTCTGATGGTTTTCACTGCCTCATTATCAGGACTGTTGAGAAGGGCCCTCTGGCACACTGGTAATCTGGCTTTGAATTTGTTGTTTGTGAACAGCTCTGCCATAGACTTCAGCTGGTGACCCAAGAGAGTGGCTACGAAGGACAGAATAGCAAGGTATGGGTCTTCTCTGTTCTCATCGCACTTTTGGAGAATGCTCTACACAGTCTGAACCATTCCCTCAGCAAATCCATTTGATTGGAGGTAGATCAAGGAGCTAGTATTGTGCTCTCCTCTGTAAACGTTCATAAAGAGCTTAAATTCTGCTAAGCTGCACTGCGGGCTATCATCAGTCATAAGCTGCGTAGGGATGACAGGAACTTGCTGATTTGGTCTGTTGGTAGGAAGTATCGCTGGCCACTGATATCGAACAATTCGCTAGATGGCCTTAGTATATGATGTTGAGGACCTCAGGTCTGAGAGTGGGAGGTAATTACAGTGCCATCTCATTTGGTCAGTTCTACACTGAAATTTAAATAGTCATGGGGCAGTTGGGGGCACTCTTTTCTTTTCTGTGGCCATCACCCAAAGACCACTTCTTTTAGCTACTAAAATGTAGTATCTTCCCCTGTTTTGTCACAAATCTGTTGTAGCTTTGTTGGAAATGCGAGGAGATTCTGTGTGAAGTGGTTGATACATATTTCTGGAAGTTGACCTTTGCTAGAGGTGGGCGTTGGCTATTGGCACATCACGATCTTTCATGTGTCCACAGAAGCTACCTTCCCGGCATTTAAACTGCAGTTTGTCTTTGTTTAAATTTCTTCCCCTATCCCTAGATCTGATCATTAGGTTTATCATATTTGCATCGTGCTCTTCCTCTGTAGCTCCCTATATGAGTGTATCATCAGCAATACTGGGGACTCCTCTTAGGCCCTCTAGTCCTGACTCTAAATGTTTCTGGAACACATCTCGTGATACAACAAGGCCAAAGGGGAGCTGTGTAACTGACTCCAGGCGCGATTACCGCAAGTTCAGAATTAGAAATAAGGACGTCGCAGCACTGATTAAGACCACTGGACTTTGTGTTGATTTCCAATGAATTATCTTTATTACAATGTACCAATGCTCAAAAACCGTCAAACTAAAATACAAGCGAAAATATCTTGTCTAAGCGACATGAAAGAACAAAGCCGAACAATAATTGGATGTAATAAAAACACGAATGCAGGAAATGGCAAAACAACTAAACTAACTAGAAATAAACCGACAAAATGAGACTAAAAAAGGTAAAAACATGTGCTTACCGATTGTCCTCTCTGTACGCCTGACTAGTTATATACGCAAGATCCATAAACTTCGCAACAAACTCAATAAACTTCACAAACACAAAAAACTTAGACCGCATGCAGACTACTAGTAAAGACGCACGCGGTTCTGAAATATGATCTGCCGGAAACGTCACTAATATTTAACCTTGACAGTTACAAGCTGGGTGAAACAACATCTCCAAACTGGGGTGTTCAATGTAGCCAGGTAGGAGCTGACTTCATCTAATGGTACATGCCAGTAGCCTTCCTTTGCATCAACCAAACCAGAGAATTTGGCAGTGCCAAGCTGTTTGACTCTTCATCAATTGTTTTAGTATAGTAATGCTCACACTTTATTGCCTTTTTGGGTCGTGTGGGTCGCGACAAACTCTGATTTTGGTGACTTCTCCGTAGTCATAGGTTGTTTCAGAGAGGAATATACTGTTAACCCAGTCTGTGGGTTCGCTTCCTAGAATGAGCACACCAACTTCTACCATTGGGGCAACTTCCCTTTCAAACATGAATTGTATTGAGGATTGCATAGTGTGTGTTCATTAAGGCGAGTCTCCTTGTCTTCCTCGGAGGTTTCTACGCTGCAACTAAATTTTACTAGCTCAAGTGCCTTACAGGTTTTACAACTAAGCATTGCAGGTCCTGGTACATCATTGGTATTTAAAAATGAACTTTTTAATACTACCATAGCCTAGCTAGGTATGCTGTAATCCTTGAACGTGTTAGGCCAAGGTGTCTCTGTTGGCGATCGGGATTGAATCTGCCACAATTTTCTTTTGAAATAACATTTACCTCCACACCAGTGATATCCTTGCAGGTAAGAGGTAAGAGTACTGTGTGTGTACCATGAAGGTCTGCTGTGACTTAAATGGTGTAGCTTTCCTCTGCTTGATACTTGTGAACTAAATTGGGCTTCCTACTGTTCCCAGGAAGACTTCGTCATAGCTTGAGCATTCGCTTGTTACACCATCAGCCTGTTCTTTTGGTAAGGTCATCACATCTGTCCTAGTTTTTCACTCTTTACTAAGTCCCAACGGCCTCTCTGTATCTCTTTCCTTTAAGTGGGGTTGTGTGTCATTTTTTTGTATTATCCCTAGTCTGTGGAACCTGTATTGAGCGCTCAACCTGTATCAAGTGGTCACTCACTCAGCCATCCCCTGTGGGTGACCGCTTAATACAGGTTCAACTGCACTCTCTTAATATTTCCAACTAGCCATAACTGCAGCAGCATTTTCATTAAAACGACATCAAGTTAATATCAACTAAGTTTACATCAACTAGTTTATATGAACTAAGTTCTGACGAAGGGCTAACGCTCGAAACGTCAGCTTTTTAACTCATTACGGTGGCCAATATTATTTTACAATTTCAACTTAGTTGAAATAACCAAATTACCTTTTTACTCCCACCAACGCAGCACTAGTTTCTTTAGAAACTTTCACCCTTTATATAGCTAGTTTATATACACCACCATTTAACTGATTGTATTTTTTACAAAATTCACCAAGACTGCTTTTTTTTTTGGGCTACTAATTAACCTTTGAATGAAGTAATCAAGTCTACTTCTAATCAGAAAAGAAGAAAAGAAAATAGTTACACTTAAAAATCGCTTTCAAATACACCTTCATTAAGGGAAATTTGCATGGCTAATTTGAAATCATCACCTTGCTCTGCAAGGCTTGCTCCAGAGGCTTGAGTGTTTTGAGAAATTTGATCACTTACTCCATTGTTAGTAAAACATGTTAAAGTTGTTGTATTATAATTATAGTACCCACATAAGTATAATATGCACTGTTTGCACCTTAAGGTCACTGTCAATAAAATAGGGACCTCTCCGAATGTTCTGGCAAAGTTTAGTCAAAATCTGACAAAACCACGCACCCTAGTATATATAGTGAGTTCAAGTAAAGGACGTATTTCCCATAAAAGTAGTTTCCATAAAACAATGTATAATCCTTTTTAAGTCATTCAGCGTTACTATTCGTATCCTTAGTTTGGGTTCAAACAAGACAAGCCCTAATAGTCATACAAATACAATAAAAATACTTACTGACCAAGTCAGGTTGGGGAGGAAGTATTTGGCTCTATAGGTCATGATGCTTGTACCTTCCTGCCCCTCCATTCAAAAGTCATGACCTCAGGCCACATAGTTTCCTTTGCAGCCCTCTCACTCGTTCAAAAGATATAGTGAATGAACCATTACCCTTACCTCCTGACTGCTCAGCAGTGTCACTAGCTGCAGCCACACCAATGGTACTGTTACTGATTGAATCCAATCCAGAGGGTGACTACATGATTGAGAGGTTATCATTATGAATAAAGTAAACTATTTCAGTTTGCACATTTATATGTCACATATAAAACTAGAGAAAAAGGTAATTTAGTTTGTACCCTTAATTATGAAATTATGGAAAGAATAATTTATAAGCAAATTACTGACTTGAGACCAAGGATTGCACCTGACTCAGGCTCCTTAAAACATACACATTCTCTAGGGAGGACTGTTTTCATGTTGATGCATGGGCTTTGAATCAGCTAGAGGAACTTAAGTCCGGTAATCTAGAGCAACTGATTTTCATAAAAATAAAATTAATAGCAATTGACTTATCTTTATTACTGAAGAGAGGTGGGGTTGATTTCAGGCTATCCAAAATTGAGCCCAAGCCAATGCAGTCATGACCATGACCCATTCAAAAATATAGATAAAATGCCAAAAATAAATATACCTCATGTGAAATGGGTTGCTGATCTACAGTTGCAGCTGGTTGTTGAGAAGGATCAATGGGTAATATCCCTACATGGAAAATAAAAATTAATACACCTATCTCTTAGTTACTGCTTGACTTGTTGTTATTTCACAACATGTTCTTCTTTCAATGAAGAGCACTACAAGTTTGAATGCAGGAAGGGCCAACGTTAATTAACTACATTCCAAGAATCAAATAGATTGCAACTCATCACCAATTTACACATGCCAATCACCATATTAAAACAGTTGTGTTCCAGGAAAAACAAAACTATATTTTTATATAGACTTTCATTTTCAAAATAAAATTTGAATATTAATGAATATTAATTTAACTGCTCTTTCTTATGCCACTGACCTTTAAATAAGGAAATCAAACCTTGTGCTAATGGCTTATTGGGAAAAGAACACAAATGTATCTATTTTGTCTACAACTGTGGGTTATTAATTCATTACAAGGTACATTTTGCATTGTGATAATGCCCTTATCTCGATGCTGGTTTACCTGGCTGTATCAGACTTGCCCGGGAGGCTTGCACGTTTTGGAAAATTTGATCACCTGCTGTGTGATGAAAATCATATTGGTGGATTAAGAAATGAACATGAAAGCGATCTTCACAGTAATGAAAACTACTTGAGCTGTTGCGAAAATAAGAGGTTATGGGTTTGAGTCCTGTAGAGGCCTGATTTTTTTTCTGGCCTTATTTTTTATTTAATTTTTTTTCTAATTTGCTAATGTCTGGCTTGTCCATATTAGTATGTTTGTTAACTGCAAGAAAAAATTAACTTTCATTTGAGGATGAGAATATATAATGATATAAATTGACATCTGCATGCAGTTAACTCATTATAGAGCCATTCCCTCCTTTTCATTTCAGAAATGCTCTCTTTTCCCAAGAGCAACCGCTGCAAAGCAGCATGTCATCTCAAAAAGTAAATCTAGTTGATATCACCATTATGATCAATTACTTGATTGTAGTTTTTACAAAATTTATTACAACTGTTTTTTTTTTCAGCAATTAAGCTTTAAACGAAATAACATTTTTCTGTCTCACAATTAGAAAGATCACTTTCAGACAGCACATTTACACTTGTCTACAAATCTTTTTCAAATATATCTTAATTAAGAAAATTTTCATGACTTTGAAATCATGACCTGAGTTTACCTTGTTCCATAAAGCTTGCCCCAAGGGCCTGAGTGTTTAAGGAAACTTGACCACCTGCAGTGTTGTCAGCTAAACATGTTGAAGGCAATCTTTGGCTGGGACTTGGCTCTACAGGTAACAAACTGATGTCATTGTTCATTACAATTCCTGGCATTTTAGCCACTACCAAGCAAAGACCCACAGACCAAAAAGATTAAGATAAATTAAATAACAACAGGCAGACAAATTTTGAATAAATCCTTTCAACACTTAAATGAAAGACCCCTGCTCTTCATTTTCTTCTCAACATCTGAACATCATCATGACTAGAAGCTTAATTCTAAAGTTTTGCCTATGGGTTTCTCCTAATTAATATAAAAAGTTAAGATGTATATGAGCACGATCCTTCGCAGTAAAGCACTATTTGAGCAATAGTGAAAATCAGACCTGAAAAAAATTTCAGGCCTGTACGGGATTCGAACCACTGACCTCTGCGATACTAGTGCAGCGCTCTACCAATTGAGCTAACAAGCCAACTGGGAGCAGGCCATCAAATTAATTCGACATAAACCCGTAGATGATAAATCAAACAACAACAAACATATGAAACATATGTGTGAACTGCGGTTATGAGACGTATATGAGCACGATCCTTCGCAGTAAAGCACTATTTGAGCAATAGTGAAAATCAGACCTGAAAAAAATCAGGCCTGTACGGGATTCGAACCACTGACCTCTGCGATACTAGTGCAGCGCTCTACCAACTGAGCTAACAAGCCAACTGCTTGTTAGCTCAGTGGTTCGAATCCCGTACGTCTCATAACCGCAGTTCACACATATGTTTCATATGTTTGTTGTTGTTTGATAAAAAGTTAAATTGTAAATGTAGTTCACACCTACAAACAAATAATATATTCGAACAGTTTGTCAGTGTCTCAATTTATATTTTCAGTCTGACACCAAACTACAATATATTATTACCTGATGCAGTGAGACCATATTTAGATCCAATTATTGGAAAAGCAAAGACTGGTCCATCACTACAGTAACTAATATTCCATAGCTGATAGGGTACCTATTTTTAAATCAATTCAGAAAGTAATTATGATACTGAAAGTGAAATTCAAATATATGAAGACATTATGGCAAGAAAGTTACAGCATCTTTTATCATCATGCTGTCTCTTAACCCTGTAACTCCCAGAAGTGACTAATACAACTTCTTTGATCTCTACAATATTCATACGTTATCTAGCAAACAAGTAATGATAATGCTCAAACTTATCATGTAGAATTTTTGTTTTGATCTAATACAACACTAAATTCTCATAACTAAGTTACGAGGAAATGTGTAGCAGCTAGAGTGGATAGTTAACAATCATATATCTTTGGATTTAAGGGTTATGTGTATCATACACTACCAAAACAAATGACAAAAATATGACAGTGGCATCATAAAACAAAATACAGAATCTTATTCTTAAAAACTGTGGATTCAGCTAGTATACTGGTAAGTATTGCCATTCCTTATAGAATTATCCACACTCAGTGGATTAATCAATGTAAGATATCACCTTTCATTATTAAAACCAGGAAAAATCATTGACTTTGGATTGCCAGGAAAGTTATTGGCAACCCAGTGAAAACTAACATTGTGTCTCTACATATTAGTCAAGAGAAATTAATTTTAAATAACTGGAAATCCCAATTAGCCAAATGCAGCATGCAAGCAGGCAGGCAATTTAAAAGCATGCATATAACATCTATATTCAATAATCAATTAAAAAGCAGAATTTCAACCTAGCTAGGGCTTGTAAATACTAAAAGCATCCTAACCCTGCACAGTAACCATCCTGCCCTGCTTAAAAATTTATAAAACTTATGGTAAATTTATACAGTAAAAGGTCACTTTTCCAAAGTTAGGGAAAAGGAAAACAGTTGTAAGTTCTGCACCAAAACCCATCTTTTTCTTAAACAGGACCGCAAGCCCACATTAGCGAATAGCCTGAAGAAACTACTCATAAGGAAGAAAAGGTCAGTCCAGTCAGGCCAGCTTACTGTAATTTGCAAAACGAAGCCAAATGAAATGAAAATCGTTATTTGATTTCTGAAATAAATTATATAGAAATCTGTAATTGTGAAAAAAGAAAAATCAGTAAATTGCAAAAAAGGAATCTGTTAATGATTTGTGAAAAAGAATCTGTAATTTGGGAAATAAACTGAATTCTGTAATTTGCGAAAAAAGAATCTCTGTGGGAAACTCCATGGGCCAGAAAAATGAATTGGTGATCAATTCATTACAAGTGAACTACTAGTCTACTAGTCGGCCAGTAAGCCCGGTTCACATATAATCGCACACAATCGCAGACGATCGCAGACGATCGCAGACAATCACTGACGATGGCAGGCGATCGCAGGCGATCGCAGGCGATTGCACGATCGCTGAAACCACTCAACCGAAGATTGTGAATTGCCTGTTCACATATCATCCCAGCCAATCGTGGCAATCTGTGACATTCGAGTTCATGGTTTACTATTCAGCAGCAATACAATGTAACTCCAGTCAACTAACATAATGCAAAGGATGCTGAACTTTTAATAGGTGTTAACATTCTGCTTTTGTTGTTTTTACTTAAATATAACCAGAGAATCCCTGCCAGATCAAAGAAGAAACGTCGCTACTTGGTGCAGAAAGTCTTAAGAAAAACAGAATTCTTTGCTAAAGCAATTGAACAAACAATCGTATTTTCTAATTTCTTCCAAAAGCTGTTCCGTGTTAATTTCAACTTCCATCTTTTCAAAACACGCACATGTAGAAATTGATAAACAACTGATTGTCATGGTATCATGCCGCTTGCATAGCATTATTGGACACATTCCAATCGCATGATCACAGAACTTTGTTCACATATGATCGCACTCAATCGCAGACAATCGCAAGAATAGAACATGGTTCTATTGCTGTGATCGCCTGCGATCGCACACGATCGCAGAGCTGTTCACATATAATCTCAGACGATCGCTGGTGATCGAGTGCGATTGCCTGCGATCATATGTGAACCAGGCATTAATCAGGGAATAGCTCTTATTTGAGGAAATAGGGTAGGTGCATTCATTGCAGTTAACTTTTCTCTCTTCATTTACACCAAAGCTGTCATTCAAGAAGTTGTCAGGATTTAAAGGGTGATTTTGAGAATGTAACCTTTAAGTGATTAATACATACCTCAGAAGAAGTACTTATATCTATGGGGTAAAAAGAAGTACCTGTGTTAATACAGTTGTTAAATAAATCAAGCTACAAGTAGCTTCTTAAAGTGCCCCTGAGATTAAAATTGACCAATCAGAGTGCGCGCTTTACTTTGGTTATGTTATAATTTTTGTTTCAGAAATACTCTCCTTTCCCAATCATTGCATCAATCAGCAATGTCATCTCAAAAGTTAAATCTAGTTTATATAATCACCATCAAGATCAATTACCTGATTGTAATTTTCACAAAATTCATCACTGTAACAGTGTTTTTTCCCCCAGCAATGTAGCCTTAAAAGAGATCACATTTTTCTGCCTCATAATTGGAAAAAGAAGACAGTACATTTACACTTGTCTTCAAATCTATTTCAAATACACCTTAGTCATGGAAATTTTTCATGGTTTTGAAATCATGACACAAGTTTACCTTGTTCTGTAAAGCTTGCCCAAGAGGCTTGAGTGTTTGAGGGAATTTGACCACCTGCTGTGTTGTCAGGGACTGGTTCATCACCACTTATACTTTCTGGCTGAAGAGGTACCTAAAGTATATATTTTTAAATCAATTCAGAAAGTATAATTATGTTACTGAAAGTAAAATTCGAATAATTGGGAATCAATGATTAGGGCAAGAAAGTTGCAGCACTTTTTATCTTCATGTAATCTCTTAGCCCTCTAACTCCCAGAAGTGATGAACAAGTATAAATTCTCTCTATAATTAATATTCACACCTTATCTAGCAAACAAGTAATGAGAATACTCAAACTTATCAGGTAGAAGTTTTGTTTTGATCTAATATAACACCAAATTCTCACAACTAAGTTATGAGGAAATGAGTAGCAGCTTGAGTGAAGAATCAACAATCAGATCTCAGGATTTAAAGGGTTAAGTGTAACATGCACTACCAAAACACCAGACAAAAATATGACAATGGCATCATAAAACAACATATAGAGTCTTATTCTTAAAAAGTGTGGACTCAGTTAGTAATTACCATTCCTTGTAGAATTATCCTCACTTAGTGAATAATCAATGTAAGTTAGTCTCTTTCATTAATAAAACCAAGAAAAATTGACTTTAGATTGGTGAGAAAGTTACTCGCAACCCAGTAAAACTTCTATTGTGTATCACAGAAGTTAAAAAAAAATTATTTTTATTACTAGGAATCCCAACTAGCCAAATTCGGCATGCAAGCAAGCAGGTAATTTCAAGGAAAAAATGTAACTTGTACATAATTATGATCAATTCAAAAGCAGAATTTCAACCCAGCTAGGGCTTGTAATAGTCAAAGCATCCTAAACCTGCACAGTGGCATTAATCCTGCTCTTTACCTATAAACGGACAACTCTCATCAACTACAATCATTTTTAATTGTACCTTTGGGACTACTTCAGCTCTGTTAGCTTGCACCTGATCTCTTCTTCTTTGTTGGGTGGCTAAATGTAAGCTGGTGCCCCCACATCTACTTGACACACTTCTATCAGCACTCTGAGATGTTCCTGGTAGCAAACTACTTTTGTTTTGTGAAACATCCCAATCAAATCCTGACTGGTTCTGTTCTGATAGATTTGTAACTGGCATTCTGTTGCCTGGCTGGAAGGAATCAAAGGTATCATTTAGAGCAGCTAAATAATCTTGAGAAAAATGGTATTGTCTTTGTCTTACTGGCTGGGATTGGCATCTCTGATCTGAGGTTTGCAAATTAAGGTGAGGAGACAATATAGAAAATGGAGAATGGGCTGATGGTGAAGTGCCCCCTGCTGAAGCTTGTGTCTGTTTTCCTGGAACAAAAGTGTTGCTTGTTACGGTATATGTGACTGGAATGGAATTTTTCTGAAAGTCAGTTGGTCTGGAAGATTGTTTTCCATAAATTTCAAGTAAGCTGGTGTGACTTTGCACTGTTGTTGCAGTTGAAGTTGATGGATGTCCCTGTGGTTCAAGTTGTAGTGATTTTTTTCCTGAAAGCCAAGTACACAGAGATTAGTTACCAAAATTTAATATGTTTAATGCACAGGCAAAGGTCTCACTTCAGAGAAATTAAATGGGATTGACTGTATAATTTGCAATTTTCTTGTGTGTTTCTGTGTATGAAAATAGTTTGTATATCATCAATATTGCTATTTTAAGTTCAAAAACTTAACAAGCAATTACGGGTAACAGCTGTTCTTTAAGTGTATAATACACTGGCATAGTTGTTCAATTTATAATTGCCCTTATCTGGTACAATAGTAGAGTGGAATAATAATAATTATAATTATTATTATAATAATTAACAATTATTCCACGAGCAAGCGTTGGATATGAGATGATAGATAGCCAACGAGGCCTGTAGCGCCGAGTTGGCTATAATCATCTCATATCCAAAAAGCGAGAGTGGAATAACTGTTTTATTAAAAAAACGCCCCCAAGATATTAGACAAATCTTCTCGACTTTATTTTGTGAGAAGAAACCGGATTTAACAATGTACAGAAATTAGATTATGGTATATTGGCTCATATACCATAATGGCTGAGCCATTGAAAGAAATATGACTGGCATGCATATGGGCAGCTCTAACTCATCAGGAACTTAAGCTCCCCAAGAAGGAGGAGTACCAATATCCCATGTTGATTGATGTTTAGGCCCTTGACTTGAGAGCAAACTTTTCAGTTAATTTTAAAGTACCATTAAAATAAACACATGATTATTTTATCATTAAAAAATCTTATTGAATCACCTGGAAAATCAAAATATGCACAGTTTTGGAGGAGAACATTTTTTTAAATACAAACCTCAAAAAATACATAAAGGGAAGCATTCCCCCTGGTACGCCTGTGAATTTTAATTCCATCCCACACTGTTGGTGGGTGGTCATGAAACTCCAATCTACGTCTTGTTTTCTTGTCCACAACTGTTGCACAGCAAAATCTAAAATTTTGAGGTTAACATGAAGACATTCATTAGAGAAAACATAGAAAAAAAATCACTGAATAAAAGGTTGAAGTATAGGGTGTACACATACTATTTATAAACAGGGATTGCAGAGCAATCCACCCCCTTTTCACCTCAAAAAAACAATAATGGAGTTTTGCTCAGTATGGATTTTGCAACCAGTAGGATGTTAGCCAACCATTAAGAAAGACAAGGCAGCTGACCTCCTCCTCTTGATATTCTAGTAGCACACTCTTAAAGCTAACTAACTAAGACAATTTTTGTTTGCTCTGAATTGAATTGCTTTGAATGTTAATAATGTTAATATAGTGTACTAGTGGAATTAGCTTGTGATCACACTGTTTCTTTATACTGCAAAAGATGGTAAACATCTCACATTAATTTAAGGATCGTGCATACAAAAACAAAACTTTACCTACATGTCTCAAAAGGTGTGATCAGTGTACCATGAATACTTGGAGGAATTATTTTTGCTTGGAAGTGAGCAAGAGTAGAGCATTTGAATCAGGAAATTATACCAAGTAGATCTGAAGATATAATTTTTTAGTTCTTGCCATGACACTAAAACAGATGCTTAGCATCCCAATATAATTTCACAGTAAGCCTCTCTGGCACAACTGAAAACAAGCCTTTTCCTTGCAGAAATACTGGCATAGGTTTGATTCCCACCTGGTGAAAACTTTGAAGAAAATTATTTATTCGAAAAGAGAGCATTTTACCTTTTCAATCACCAATGGCCAACAGAGCCACTAAATTTGCAAAGTGGACAAGGTCCAAAATATGATACCTTAATTGAGTTTAACAGGGTGACCCTATTCCACAAAATGATGGAATGGTGGATATGGTAGAGCAGCAGAATATCCTACAAAACTGAAATAGAATTGTAATGAAATAAGAAAAGTATTAATAATGAACAGGCAAAATTGAAAGAAGCACAGTTCACTCATTATTGAAGTCTAGCGAGAGGATAGACTGCCAGAGGAAAAGTGAGATTCCTGAGCTAGCCCCTTTAGTCATTAAGTATAATTAATATTTTACTATACAAATATTTGTTGAAATTGTAATTATAATTATTATTATCATCACTGTTGTTTATATAATGTCTTTTTAGAATCTAATTATTGGTTGGGTGTCAATTAGTCACTATAATCTTAATTCAATTCTCACTTGTAATTAGACACTGATAGTAATAATAATTGTAATAATAACAATAATAATTTACCAATGGACATTCCCCTGGGTGGCTCTTCTTGTCCACTGTTTCCAGATCGAATTGGAATTTGGAATAGTGGTTTTTGCAGAGGGAGGAAAACCAGAGGACCCAGAGAAAAATGGAGCAAGGATGAGAACCAAAAACAAACTTAATCCACATGTGACGCCAGGTCCAGGAATCGAACCAGGGCCACAGTGGTGGGAGGTGAGAGCTCTCACCATTGAGCCATGCATAAATATGTGAATGCAGCAGGATTTTTGTTTCATGAGACAAATCTTCTGCAACACTACCTTCTAGCATCATTATACAACCTCTAGTTTTTTTCACTGCTATAAAAACATGTTATCAGTTGTCATATGTAGTCTTGATTTGCCTAATATTCTCTTTTCCACAAAATCAACCAAAATTCTGTGGTTATGATATTAGGTTATCTAAAGCCCTCTTCAATAAAATCTGATCTTCAAGCTTACTTAGAATTTCTATAGAAACAGAAATAATCATCTTTCAAGACCATGCTAGGGTACCCAGTAAAAATTGGGTGCTGCTGCAGTTTTATTTCTTCAAGGACTATACTTGGTGTACTATAAAATACATTGTTCATCTACAGAAGTTCTACCCAAGCCAATGGATCTCTGGTTTATTCTTATGTCATTATCTGCTGTAGTATTACATTACCAGCGTTACATAACATACGAAGAAACAACTTCATTTTTAATTAACCCTTTAGCTTTCATGAGCAACCCCACAATATCAATACAATATCAAGCAGACAAATGATGAGAATAAAGAAAATATATCAATGAGGGGATTAGTGCTTGAAACAGTACCAAATTCTCCAAAGTAACATAGGAATTGTAAGGCAAATAGTAACTGAAGAATAACTCATGAGATCTTGGAAGTGAAAAGGTTAACACTAGTTAATTTAGATCACAATGAAAACAAGGACAGCATCAAAATTTAGTTTGCCTGTTAGTTTCAAATGGATTTCCCAGAGTTACCGCCACCCAG